CGGGAGAGAAGAATAAGCTTATAGAACTTGGTTGCGCTGAACTTATAATTTAACATATTAAATGCAACTCCAAAAATATGTTAACTGTTATAAACGGGACTTCGTTTACATTATGTTTCAAATTTCAGGAGCTTATATACAGCTGTAACTTGATGTTTTATATTTACTGCCCCTTCTTTAAAGTAACACAATGAGTCAAAAACATGTGCTTCTTAAAGATATCTGTAGCATACAGAGAAAGACATATGAAAACGGAAAGCAAGAAAAGACTGCACAATATATTTGCCGGAAAAACAAAGGTAGTTTCTACCGTTTTGTTGTTTTCGTGTATGTCAAGGTCACATCACTTTCATTTTTAGTTCAAACTTGTAAACAACATTCAACTGGAGCATGCAAAGGCGAGAAGTATGTTCTAACAACTTTTTGAAAAGATTGCATCAAAATTGTTGGTCTACTTACATTTATTACTGGGTTCTGAGACCATGGTAATAGAGTTTTCCCGCGTTTCGGAGAATAGCGGGAAAACGTTCTATGACAGCAACGTGTTTGAATGGCTATGCATAGTAATACAAGGTGGGCCATAGAAAGGCCAGTATAAAGGGTCAGTGGCGTAAAGTTAAGGTCATTCTAAGCCGGTCTTTCTCAGTGCACGGAGCACCATTTTTTTTCTTATTTTGTTTTGACAAGATTGTATAAATTCAATATATATATATATATATATATATATATATATATTTGCCATCCTATCTCAAGGACACCACGGACTACATTCACAAGACGCCCTCTACTGGCCTCCCAAATCATACCCTCCTCGTGACTATGGACGTCACATCTTTGTACACCAATATTCCACACGATGAGGGTATCGAAGCCTGTAGAGAAGTCTGGGATAGTAGATCCATACAAATTCCTTCTACAGAGTCCCTTGCTAAGCTCCTTGAACATGTTCTCAAGTTCAACAACTTCATGTTTAATGGAGAACATTACCTGCAGGTTAATGGCACTGCTATGGGTACGAAAATGGCACCGTCTTATGCCAATGTCTTCATGGGCAGACTGGAACGCAACTTGTTACTTCAAGCACCATTTAGGCCCCATAGCTGGTTGCGTTTCATTGACGATATAGAGATGAAGTGGGTGGAATGTCGCGAGAGCCTCGAGGCATTCATTACGTTTGCCAACACCTTTCATCAATCGATCAAATTTACAGTAGACGTATCTAATTCGAAAAACGTATTCCTAGATACTACATCTACCCTGATTGATGGTGAAATCGAATTCAGTCTCCACACCAAACCCACAGACTCCCACCTATATCTTATGCCCTCTAGCTGTCATCCCCCACACACTTTTAAGGGAGTGCCTAAGGGTCTAGCCACCAGAATTCGACGCATCTGTTCGTCCCCTGCCTTATATCAGGAGCAAAGTGGTCTTCTTAAGTCCCACTTATGCAAAAGAGGCTACAATGCCCGCACCGTACAAACAGCTATTGATGAGATGGCGGGACATGACAGGCAAAACCTATTACGCTACAAGGAGAAAGACAATAGCGGCAGGGTCCCTCTGGTAACCACATACCATCCCGTCCTTAAGAACCTTAGCGGTATCCTTCAAAAGAACCTACCAATTCTCCATTCAAACAAACGAATGGCAGAGGTCTTTAAGGAACCCCCATTGGCTGCATACAGACGCCCAAGGAACCTAAAGGACATGGTAGTAAGAACCAGACTGGACAACCCATTACCTAACGGGGGCTTTAAGACTTGCTCTGACAGAAGATGTCTTCTTTGTAAGCACAGCACTGACACAGACAGTTTTAACAGCCCTGTTACAGGCCGCAGCTACAAAATACTAGGGAATTTGTCCTGTCATACTGACAACTGCATTTATCTCATCAGTTGCAAAGTTTGCTCCAAACAGTATATTGGTGAAACAGGAGATCTCCGCAGGAGAGTCAATAACCACCGTTCGACCATTAGGACCAAAAAACTCAATGAACCCGTTGGGGAACATTTCAACCTTGAGGGTCACAAATGGGAGGACATGACAGTAGTGGTGATTGACCATAGCCCAAGATGGACAGATGCTCAGAGAAAAAGCAAAGAAAAATTCTGGATGCACAGATTGAAGTCATTCCGCCCTAATGGTATTAACAAACTGAATGACTTCACCAGAATGAACGTAAACTAGACCCAATTCCTGATGATACTAAACAAGATTATTCTCTCAATTTAGTGTAAACTCTTCAGTTAATTTGCGTCACCAACTCTCGAACAACTTTCATAACTATGTATTGCTTACACCTTTGTTAATTATTTTTTCCCGGTAATAAGTCCTTAAATATTTCAAAATTTATAATTGATCATAATTCATATGTTTAGATATCCCTGCTATATTATTTTTCTCTGATTATTCTTTATTAAGTAAATTTACGCCATTTTGAGAGAATGAAACAATGTACGATTTACTGATTGTCGTAATTAATTAGCATAATTAATTCGTTCAATTATGTAAATCGCACTTCACCCGAGTATACCCGATAGACCGGACGCATTTCATAGCGGTCCGGATTTCTTTCTTTATTAGTGTTCTTAAAAATTTCCAATTCATCATGTAATTAAGTATGTAAATATCTAGTGTTTAGTAGTTTAGTAGTAGTGCTAGTTGTTTTTGTTTCTCTTTTTCCTTTGTTCTTATGACTTTTTAACTTTTTTCTTTGTCCTGAGGAAGGGACAGGGCGTCCCGAAAATTTGACAATTTTTATTGTTCGTGTCGTTGGTCATTTTTAGTGCTTTATATAAATTTCCATCCGTGACCTTGTATCTACTTGGTAGATCCGACATTTAGGATATACAGTGTTGTTGGTTTTTTAGTGCTTTTTATATATATATATATATATATATATATATATATATATATATATATATATATATATATATATATTTTATATGAATAAGTCCGATATTCACCCCGAGACATAACTTAACACTTGCGTTCGGACACAGGTTTCCATAGTTTTTCGTATGTTTTATCTATGGTTTTTCCTGGGCGGTTTTTAATGTACTTTTATTTTTCTCCATAAAAATAGATTTTTTTTATGTTCTGAAACCTAATATTTTTAGGAATTGAACAAAATTTACCCTGGTCATGCAAAAGTTCTATGTTTGTCAATTTTACCCTTTGTGCGTCACAGTAAAGAGCTTTCGTTTATCATACCGTCAAAAGCACATGTTTACAACGTCAATCTACCTACCCTGGTATCAGTTGGATAATTGTTGTAAAAATCAGTTTAACAAAATTGTAATTAAATTTTTCAATCTGTAATTTCTTAATTTTTATGATTTTTTTTAAAAAACAATGTGAAAAAACTGCTCTAGAACAGTAATGATACGCAAAGTATTGCGTGTATGAGAGGGTGTTAGGGTGTGGTGAGAGTGTGTGTGTAAAATCTTGTACTTTGGATTAAAAAATGTTACTAAATGAATGTATGAAATGTATACTAAAATTCAAATTATTAATTATTTCAGAGTAATGACGCAAAACCAGGATACTTAAGAATGGAGGACAGTTCATCTTTTTCAACAGACCATTTGTGTATTATTAATAATTTGGTATCTCCTTTCAGTAGAATGCAAATATATCACATCTTTAATTAATCTGATAAGTGTGATTGCTCTTGTTTCTTTAAGAAACTGGGTGTGTTTTCAATTCCAAAGATAACGTTTTTGTACGTAGTTGACAATAATGTGTATGTAATTTAACATTTGTCAAAAGATTCAATTTAAGGTCATACGCAACGTAGGTTGAACATTATTGGGTTCTTTTCTGGAGTTGAAGGGTTCCACTAAATGAAGGACTTGTGTGCAATACTTTAAATGTTAATATATGGATTTATACACCTCTTCTAAAACAAATTTGATTGGGAAAAACTCTGGAATTTATGTTTTGTAATTTTTGTATCTTTTGGCTTGAATAATGCTAAAAAAAATAATCATAACTTGATATCTTCCAAAAAACCCTGGTAATGCATGCTGAATTTTGTCTATGAACATCTAATGGCACTATAATATTAAATTAATATCCTGAAAAGTTATCAGTAGGTAAGGTACGTTGCGTATGTCCTTTAAAGTAAAATTTGGCATATACATGTATTGTGTGATAACATTCTGTAAAGCTCATTTTTTGCTATTTTGTTGATTTAGTTTAAACGATCTTCAATCATCATTTAGACAAATTATGTTTTAATCTTTTTGGTAGTTTAACCAGGGTAGATCATGTTTACGTTGGTTGAATTGACTGAGACACATGATTTTAAAGAATTTTAGTTTAAGAAATTGATTTTTCTGACATACGAGAATAGAATTTTAAGATAAAGAATGAAAACCAGGTTCAACTGAATAAAATACATTGTACAATTATAATAATACCCTTAGAAACAAAGATTATTTTGCAAGAAGTCGTATTTGATGGAGCCATAACAAATTGTTCATATAGTCTTTCCATTTCTTTTAATTTCAGTTAAAGGAAGGGGTTTAAATGATAAATATCTATAAACTTAAAAAGTTTGAAAATAACCATAGTAGGACTAAGAATATGATACAGGAAGCACAGGGCGCACATTTCAACTTTCTCTTTAAATTATGACAAAACGAAATACATGTATTTGGAAGTACATGAATATAAAATGATAACATATAAAGGTAACACATAATATGGTATAATAGTCCTGGCCCCAGGATCATGAAACAAACTTAGACTTAAGTCAAATTTTCTATCACTTATAAAATATTCATTAAATGAGGAATTCAATTAGAAATTTGCAGATAACAACTCTTTTGAGAAGCAATATTGAAAAATATTTTAATATTGGTCTCCTCGACCTTTACAACATTTTATAATAAAATAAAAATTTTGACTTAAGCTTAAGATGTTTCATGATCCCGGGACCTGATTAAAAGTTTTTTTTCAAAATATATAATGTCGACAAAGAAAACTTATTTTACAAACATACATAACATCAATACTAACGGTATTTTTATCAACAGAAGCATTCTTTTAATACATCATACTCATGTTGCATTTGTTCGATAACTTTTTGTAGTTTCTCTGCCTCGGCGCACAGTTGGCCCTTTTCGATTTTAGACATGTCCACTGCGTTCCAAATCAGAGAACCCAAATCAATTATGATTCCGACAGCAGCCAGAGCACTAAGGGCTTCTGTAGAGAGTTTGGTGACCCCCTTGGAAACATTTTTCATTGCTGAAGGAAAAATGTCGTCCAATAATTTATAAATGCCTTTGCCGAGTATTGCAGCGCTCCCTGCTTGCTTTACTCCTTGGCCTACTTGCGAAATTTTCAATGCATTCCCATCTCTCATACATTTTTCAATATCCTTTTGGAGCAAGGTAACCAATCGTTTCATTTCTTTGCATGTTGTGTCATGTTTTTCCAAACTTGCTTTTGCCTGGTTACATTGTTTTTTCACTATTCCAATTTTAACTACCCCATGAGTAACCCCAGCGACACCGGAAGTCACCCCCGTAGCAACACCCGCCACAGTTAATGCAAGAGAAGTCCCAAAAGTGAAAGGGGCTGTTACTATACCGGCAATGGCCAATCCTCCGCCAATCAGCCCCACACTAGAATACGTGATGTTTCCAATGGATTGAATCCTAGCTTGTTCTTGAATTTCATCTCTTATAGTTCTTAGCTCCTCGAGAACTCTTAGTCGCTCTGGTGCCCAGGTTGCAAAATGATTTCGAGCTTTTCTGAATGAATCCTCCATAATGAATAGTTTCTATAACTATGCAATATGGATTGCCTACAGTGATAAATGATACCTTGGGATTGTTTGAATCCTTCGATTCATAGAAAAAAAAATATTCATGTTTTTTTCAAGCCTCCATTAACAAAACGTTATTCTTCTCTTTCATATTATTTATCAAATCATATTTTAAGAGTAAAGGTATAGCATTCTCAAAATAAAATAGGTGTGATAAAAGATAATATTTTGTTTTTTATCTAAAGCCGAGTACATTAGCAAAATATATTTTTAAAATGCAGATAAAAATATAAGGATATTTACCATTAAGATTAATCGCAATAAAAACAAATTAAAAGAAAATTTCAGAAAATTTGCTAAGATTTGAGAAAGTCATACTTTTGATAAATGATCTTACCTTCTTGGCTAAAAATGAAAGAAAATTTTTTTTGAAGGAAATCCTGAAAGTTAAATAACATTCGATATTTGTTTTGTTATGTACCGTGACCACGACATATGTGATATCTCTAGTTTCGTTCCCTCAATAACCTACTATCTTACAGAAAAAAAAGCAATTGGGTTGATTTAAACTGCTTGACAATTGTATTGAGTTTTTACAGCCCTAGTAAACGTAATTTGTCGTGGTCCTATTTTTTATATGTTGCCTATTGAATATACAGGCCAGTACAAAGTGTGTGTGTGTGTGGGGGGGGGGGGGGGGGTTAACTTCCCTAAAATTCTGACAGGAAATAGAAAAGCTTTATTTCTCCAAATCCAGATTTTGCCGCTACTCCACTTTACAGTAGTAAAATATAGAGAGGGCTGATATAAGCTTTGCCTGCTGCCCAATCCAACTCACTTTTATGTGTCAATATAATTTTGTAAAAATAAAAGAAGGCCAGTATCTAATGGAAAATTTCCTTATTTACTATAGCAAATCAAATAATATACGTTTTATTAAGAAAAGGCAGCCCCAGCGTACTACGGGTCTGATACATGTTTGAAGAAAGGGAACTTAAACAAGGGGTAATCAAATAGAACCATCTCTATATTTACCGTGTATACTCACCTATACGCCGATTTTTTGGAGTCAAATTTTAGTCTTAAACTCTATGTCAGACTTATAGTCATAACGAGTTTAGTAATTTTCTGGACGCTGAATTGTAGTATTTTATATGCATTTCCAACGATTACATGTATCGAAGTAAATGTCTGGATATATGTTATAATTTATTTGTTCTTAGATTACAAAAATACAGATCAGAATAAAATTTGGCACACATAGTCCAATCCATACTTTACAAAAGTTGTTTTTCTTTGCGGGGTCAACCAAAATGTCAATAGGGAAAGAAACGTCAGTTCTCCTCTCTATGCAACCCAATATTTGGGCGTGGTCTAATAAATCAATTGTGTTTAATTTTTTTCTTTCAATGTATGGGTATCCCCATCTTGGGGCAATCAGTACACATAAGGCAGAGTTTTTTTTAAAGTCAAATGACGAAGTTACAAACCTGAAAACTACAAAGGCTACTGTGTGGATTGTATAGGTTTATCCCCCAAGATAGCGGCCAAGGGACATTTGAAAAGTGTGGATTCAAATATAGAGTCATTCACATATTCTATAAATAGCATATGCGATGAAATGTTTTGCTCCGTGTTTTTGACGTCACAATGTGAAAATGACGTCCTTATGTAGATCACCCGTGACAAAGAATGGTTGACTCTGTCGTACTCGAGTAACAAACAGCTGCAAAGTTAAACATATCTCGGAAATTCTTTTGCAATAATATATAAAAATTTGTATACAAGACAAGACAAGAGTTTCCAAAAGTTTCGTTATTATTTGGATTGATTGTTTTAGTGAAGGAAAGGAGATGTTTAAAGATGATGTTTGTTCTGTTGCCTAGTGAAAGCAAGCTGGGAAAGAGATGTGTCACTTCTTAAGCAATTTCATATGAAAGATTGCCTACTTAAGTAAGAAAAATAGTCAAATTTCCTAATAATAATATAATCATTTAATCCCTAAAATATCGTTTACTTTACATTTTAAACATATCAGATATCAGATATGATGGAAAGGAGGCACCCAAATTTTATCCACATTGAGTTAACGACACTCCCAATATGTACAGAGGACTCGGGTTATGATGGTCACCATGCTCATTCTAGAAGATATATTTATCCACGAATTCTATTGCTGAGATTTGGCCATTTCTGACAAATGGACTGTTTTTCTTATAGAAAGAAAAATAACTTGTCACGTGACCGCCTAGATCACGTGATTCGCGCATGGACAGAACGGTTGCAGATGCACGTTAAAATCGGAGATGACTACTTAAAATTTCAACACTGAAATTCTATATCATTTCGTTTAAGAAAGTTATTCAATTAGTTCGCAAACTTTTTGATCACCTCTCGTATACTTTGTTTGATAAAACAGGACGGCAAAAGTACAATTAATTAAAGAAGGCTTTTAAGTTTCGCGTGAGTTATTGGTGTGTAAATCTCACAGACTTGTCACGTAGGCATATTTTACTTAGCACTTCATGAAAAATATGCCTGCCGGCAAGTCTGTGTGATTAAAACCAATAATTCACACAAAACTTAAAAACATTTAAACAATGGTAATTTCCATTTTAATGTCAATACTATATATCCTGGTGAGCTTAAGATAAACGATATACAACAGAGTCTGAAAACCTGTTTCATATTTAGATATTTTACTTGAAAAAGACGTTATTGGTAATATAACAACCAAGCTCTATGATAAACGTAATGACTTTTACTTTTCAATCGTCAACTTCCCTTACTTATGCAACAATATAGCTTGATCACCTGCATACGGAGTTTATATCTCTACGTTGATTCGATACGCAAAAGCATGCTCTACGTATGAAAAATTTCTAAATCGACATTAATTATTGACAAACAAGTTGATGAAACAAGAATTTCAGCAGTCTCGTTTAAAGTCATCATTTCGTAAGTTCTATGGTCGATGCCTCGTTACAATTTATCAATGAGTCAAATGCTGACTGACGTTTTTCATACTGGTTGTTTGTCGATTATTTATACACTGAATTGACGACGAAGTTTTGCGTTATTTCCCGATTATGAAAAGGAGCACACGGCGGATGTGACCGGTCGACAGGGGATGCTTACTCCTCCATGGCACCTGATCCCACCTCTGATGTTCCGGAGGTCCGTGTTTGCTCTGCTCCTATTCTGTATTGTTTCATGAATTTTCGATCTTGAATTCTATTTTGAATACTGTTCGTTGTTCTCCATATGTTTCATTTTTATCAAAAGTTATGTATATCATTTTTTTATCATTTTAATTAAAAATAAAATGTCGTGATTTTCCGTTTCAAACTTCTTAAAATAATTTGAAAGTTTTATCAACCTAAAATATAGAATTACACTAAAATATAGAATTACACTGAGAAAGTTGTGTGATCACAAAAACAGTGTATGTACCTTGAGCGATCTTTAGGGTTAAGGTGGATCACGTTACCTTTACAGTCTTCGTTAAAATGTCTTTTGTCTTTAAAGACCAATTTGTGTTATCATAGTTTGGATCAACAAATGTCCTTTAGTTTCAGTTTCAGACGTCCAGACTTCAAAACGAACTGCGCAATTTCTCTTTGAGGGGAGGTATGAAAAAAATCTGCAAAAAAGCTTCAGATCAGGAGCTTAAAGATTTAAACCAAAAGATAATAATTAATGAATAGTCTGTGTAGCATTAAAAATGCTTCCAAATATCAGAATGGACTACACATCTGTAATTTTATCAAACATTGCTATAGTTGATTTAGATGCAATTTGATATGAAGCTACGTACGAGGTCAATATTCAAATTAATCTATTTGTTTTTATTAACTTTGGTATCAAAATTAAAGATATATAACATAAGATAACAAACAAAATTGAACAGGCTTTGAACAAAATTGCCCTAAAGCTTTAGAATAAACCATACCTTTGTCTTTTTCAAAGATATCAAATTCAAATGGTCAAATTTGACGTCACATGAAAACCGACATTTACTCTACACCTTTGGAATAAAAATTTAAAATAATAAAAATTTGTAACTCATATCTGTAAATTGATTAAATTGACAAATAGTGAAATTAAAAAGAGTTTAGGACATATTATCTAATAAAGACATAATCCTTGGGAAAAAAAGATTCCTGTCAGAAAGAAGACGAGTATCTAAATAGTGTAGTAAAGTATCTAAATACTAAATCAATCAACGTACTGAGTATTCTTGACAAGTTTTATTATTGAGAGGGATCTCATGAAGTTAATTGTTTGCTTAAATTTGTTTTTAAATATTCTGAAAGTATTATTATAGAGTGAAATATCAAATTTCCGAGTTTCAGTTTCAGATGTCTGTTGTAAAAACTCAACAGCTTGTCAATTGTAAGGTCATAGAAAATCATTTAGAATTGCAAATATAAGACAAATGTCAATATTGAACATGTTGAAAAAAGTTTCTTAAACATCAGTATGAGTCATTCCTCAAAGGTTTTCCTGTCCATCCGAGGCAGAGGATCAAATGAGCTTTTCTAAAGGACGTCTCTTTGTAGTTTGTAGTTTTTTGAGTTTTCAATTTTTCCAGGAGCACTGGGAAAATAGTAATTAAAGTTACCACAAAGCAAAAATTGGGAAAAGCGAAACTAGATAGGATAAAATAATCTTTTGATAAAAAAAAAATTATGAAAAATTAAAGAGTATCAGGTAGTACTTAGTTTTATAAATTTGCAATTTATTTCTAAGTCAAGTTAATTTAAGTATATGTTCAATTTTTAAAAAATATTTTCTTCAAGAAAAATCTTCCGTGAAAATACTACAATGTTTCATTATGTTAATCAAAATCGAAGTGTAGATTCGAAGTTTTGTTCCTGAATAATTGGGATAGGGTAGGACTACAATGTAGGCAATTTTTCGAGAAAATATAGGATAAAAGGCTTTTGGATATTAAAGAGCGGTGTCAGTGGGACTCAACGAGTACTGAGGCCAATGGGCCTCTTTAATACATCGCCATGGTTACTGTTGACGTCACAGGAATCCATGCTATATATTTGGTATGAATTTCAGATTAATGCTTAAGGAACCAAATTTAAGGGAAAAAAGGAAAGACCCAGCCTATCAAGTAAGAAAAAAAAAATGAAAATTATTATTTATTAGAAAAGGGTTTAATTGATAAATGATGAAATATGCGGGGCCTTTGGATGGCTATAGATAAAATATCCGAACGAGTTTTATATTTGTCTGGTGTTTTGTGTAACTTTTTTTTTATTTCAATGACATCGTCTTTTTCCATCTTTTCCTCATTCCCACGTACAAAATTTTTCAGAACGTGTAATATGAGAATCTGTACAAATGTTTTCATTTTTGTAAGCCTCTTTTAAACACACAATCCGGAATACTTGTTAAAAAACTAAATTATTTAAAATAATTCTTATCATAATATACATAAAAAATTCATTCACACGCCAAATAAATACAGGTACCATTTGGCGTACTGACTTCGAATTTGTAAATGAAATAGAATGATAAAGATGAAAAGATTTCTTAACAGCCAGTATTTACTCTTGATGATCTTTTACTATGACCTTAATAATACTACATTTTTGAGAAAAAAATGATTTTTAAGGGACATCAACACAGTCTAAATTTTTTTTCATTTATTTTTTATATTTACAAATACTTAACTGAGATATTTCTAATGAATATACAATAAAGGAGTTAATTCTAAATACAACTAGACAGTTTTTATTGATTTGCTGAATCACGTTTTGTAATGAATATAATATTTTCTATATGTAAACAAAAACAAGACACGAGCCTTGTTTACATATGAAAAATTCGTCAGTTCTGTATTTCCTTTGTAAATCAACAAAATCAATACTATAAATCTTTTTGCTGATCATTTTAATTGTCTGTGTCCATGCTCCGTTAATAGTCTTCTCTAAAACCGTATTCAGGGATTCTGTCACCTACCTATATTGCTATTTTCACGAATTCGATAATCTGTTCGAACGAATATCTTATTCAACCAAACGAACTTCTAATTTGTTTGAACAAGAAAGATATGGAGATAACGAACAGTATTCAATATCAAAGTCCGAAAAACAATGCAAAATAGGAACAGAGCAAACACGGACCTCCGAAACATCAGAGGTTGGATCATGTGCCATGGAGGAGTGAGCATCCCCTGCTGACCGGTCACACTTGCCGTGTGCTCCTTGTCATGATCGGGAAATAACGGAAAAATCCGTCGTCAATTCAATGTATAAATAATGGACTAACAATTAGTATGAAAAACGTCAGTCAGCATTTGACTTAATGATAAATAATATTTGCTGACAAGGTCACCGTAAACAAATAATTATAAAATTCTTCCGAAATAACTTAAATTTTTTCAGTAGAAATATGTTATTTGTTCGAAAAAATATTTATTTCGTCCGACAAAATATCAGATTCATTTGCAATTTTCTACTTCGTCCAAAAGATATCTAGTACGTCCCTACAAATATATAATTAATTTGGACGAATTTCTAATTTGCTCGAACAAATACCTAATTCTTTTAACGAACTAATTTGTACACATTGTTCATTATCTTAAAATTATTCTTCTTTGAATGCTTCAGGATGTCAAAAAACGAAAGTAGCGGACTAAGAAAGCTGTTCACAATAATAACAGCTCCAGTATGGGTTCCAGTTGCCGCGGCAGGAGCACTGGTAGCTGTTCCATTCCAAGCAGTGGCCGACTCTGTGGACGTTGCCGAGAAGACAGATTCAGCCGGAGCAGGGGTTACTAGCTTTCCGGCAAATACTGTCCTCCGTGCAGTCAGCAACCCAGTCAAGGGCATTGCTACAGTAGGCGAGGAAATGTGGGGGAAAGACTAGTAAGATTTCCCTTGTCTTTCGTGAAAGAGGACTGTATAAGCCTTTTTTTCTTCCTCACAACAATGGTTTGAAAGTTTCCATATTACTGATACTGAATTCTCACTTTTTATTCTGCTGAATACATATATACAATCATATATTAATGCCTTTCATTATTTCAGAGTGATGGTTCAATTCCAATAAACTTGAGAGTGGAAGATTTTTCAACTTGTTTTAATGGACTAGTTTTGTGTATCATATATCGGATATTTCTTTTTCAGAAAGTAAAAAACTTACATAAATGATTAAAAATGTGAATTTCGATCATAAGAATTTTAAGTTTGTTATACAATTTGCCTCAAGTTTATTTTTTTTTAATTCTAAATTCATTGTAAATGATAATACATATTGTTTGGATATTGTTTGTCTTCTTTGGATTTAAATTCTTTTTCATTTTTTCTAGAAATTATCCTTTTTGAAGCCTTTTCTGTAGGTTCAATCTTCTGCATAGTATAAAATCTACAAAGTGTTAACCTGTAATAGTTGAGTTTGTATTAGACTTCAATCAAAATAACTAAAATAAAAAAAAAAATATTCAAAGCAAACAATTCTTATTAGACAGTACTAATCTCATATAATAATAAGAAATGTAGAAAATCAACCTAACAAGTGAATAAACTGCGTAAATACACACCAACGTCTATATAGTGTGTCTATGTTTTAATAATTAGGAATATACAGAACAGAACAGAACATTTTATTTCTAATTTAGAGCCCATAACAGACAAGCATGAGATTTATTACAATAATAAGGAAAAGATAAGCCAATGAATAGCAAAACAATTGTTATATGACCTAAAGTAATTAAATAATTCTTCATGCGGCATCATTCGGAAGTTACGGAAGCCCATTTAGGACCTATCAAAAAATATTTTTGAGTTCGTTATAACGATTTTTAGAATTCGTTATAACGAATTTAATTTGTTATAACAGATTTATTGAATTCGTTATAACGAATTTAATTTGTTATAACAGATTCATTGAATTCGTTATAACGAATTTAAATTGTTATAACAGATTCATTGAATTCGTTATAACGAATTTAATTCGTTAAAACAGATTCATTAAATTTGTTATAACGAATTTAACTTGTTATGACAGATTCACTAATTCGTCTTAACGAATTTAATT